TTTATGCCATCTTACGATAATATTAAACTGTCTTAAAATTATATATAAACTACTATTTCGGCGTTATCCTAGTATATTAATTAATTTATAAACTTTTGTAAGCATGTTATGAATGGTAAGCATTTTGAAAGAATCTTTTAATCGCATTTTTGGAAAAGTGTAATACAAAATAACTTTATAAAAATTTCTCTTCCGGATAATTTCGAGTGAATGAATGCAGTAATTGACAGCGAATAGATGATTCAATCTCAATATAAGTCACTGACTATATATAGTCTTACGATTTAAAAAAAATATATACAACTAATAGTTATATTGCGGATAACCACGTAATGTTGTTGTTTTTTTGAGTAGAAAACCCTTTCTATAAAACTTGGGACAATTACAAAAATGTCATTTTTTGTGTACACATTTGCAAGAATGCCACTTAAGGATGTCTATTTACAAAATGCCACTAATTATATATATTAAAATTCTAAACTCTAAAAAATGTTTTGACACCTAAAACCCCCTAAACACTCAAAACTAAACCCTAATATAACATAGTTAACCCAAACATAAATTATATAATGAAAAAATAATTTTGAAAAAGTTGCATTTTTGTAAAGATTTCAAAAGTGTGGCATTTTTGTAAAATGGCACTTGAAAAGTGGCATTTTTTGAAATTTCTCATAAAACTTCGAGTGTTTGGATATATGGTATAGTAGATGATTTAATTCTCAAAATAAGTTCAGAAATTAATTTAAATAAGTGTGTCAAAGTTAAGAATATATAAATGTAAATAACTGTCAAAACACATATATTATGCTAGTATTAAATAGTTATTTTGTCGTAAGAAAAAAAAAACCTTGATTTTAAAGAGAAAACAAAAAAGTGTTGTGACCAGGGGTGGAATTATTATCCGGAATCCGAGAATCGATCCGTTATCCGTTCGGAATCGCTCCGAAAATTAGGATATCCGAGGAGTCCGGATCCGGATAAAGATAGTAAAATCTAGGATCTGTGAAAAGAGGATCCAGATCCAGATAACAAAATTTTAAGGTCCGGATATCCAGATCCGGATCCGGACGCATTAAATATATTAAAAACATATATATTATATATCTATTAAGCTAATTTTATATAAATAAATATATATATAATTTGATTTTAGTTTTTTTATAATAAATTATATTTATAATGAAAAATATCATTTAAAATATTAATTAATAAATTTTAAAAATATATTTTGATTTATTTATTAATTATTTTAATTATTTTTAATATTAATTTCGGATCCGGATATCCGTGGATATCTGTTTTTTTAGCCGGATATCCAAAGTCCGGATATCTGGAGGTCCCGATTCCGGATCCGGATAGTTTTTTTCATGGATCCGACGATTCCGGATCCGAATACCTTGAAATTCCAGAATATCCGGATCCGTTCCACCCCTAGTTGTGACCAAAAAAATTATGGGATAATTTTGTCAAGTTATTAGTGGAACAAGTGAGGGCAAATCAGTCAATTCAAGAATTCGATATAACGGTAACAGCGAACGAATGAAGAAGCGTCTATATTAATAACTTCTTTCCCAAGAAACCATCACTCTTCTTCATATTTTACATCTTTCTTGTGATTTGTTTCTTGCATTACTTGTTTCTCTCACTTCATCATCACAATTTTCCTGCAAATCTTCTTCTTCGATCTGAGTTTCATTGTGCACTATCTGTGGAAGAAGAGAATGACGATGATTTATCCACCGGTCGATGAAATCGTCGCATGTTATCTGAAGATGATGATCGATAGCAATTGGCCAAGCGACTTCCTTCGAAACGAAGACGTGTACTGCACAAATCCATGGACGCATTTCAACACTCAAGAGCCTTCGATCTTACACGACGGACGATACTTGTTCGTTAACCGGAGAGAAGAAGAATCTGGTAAAACCGACGGATGTGATTCAGGTTGCTGGAGAATCGTGGGTCGTGATAAACTGATCAAGTCGAAGAAGACAGGGAAGATTCTAGGGTTCAAGAAGATTCTTAAGTTCTGCGAAAAGGAAGAACCGAGATCGGTTTTTAGGTTTTGGGAAAGGGAGAAGAGACGAGTGAAAGATAAGAGGATTTGGGTTATGGAAGAGTATAGGCTTGCGAGTAAGTGGAAACAAGATTACGTGATCTGCAAGATTCGGCTTCTAAATCCAAACCCACTAGAGTTCTTGTTATCCAACCATATTCGAGGTTACAATATCTGAATCATATGATATGATTAGGATTCTTGAAGACTCGAGTTCCGTTTTCGTTTTCTGGAAAACTCCGATATGTCTCATCATCCATGTTCTTGATTTGATATTTTCTCTTATGCAATTTGTTGGGTTTATGAATAAAACCCTAAATATCGTTTTAGTTAGAATTGATTGAAATAATTAAGATTGAAAGAAATCGTTTTAACATTGAGTTTGTAGAAGTTCTCTTTTAATAAATGTTAGATTTATGGTGTTTGATTGTGTGGATTATAATTGAACTCGACGTCTTGAATGTTTTGATTTCTCTGACAAATCTTTCTATTTCGCTATCCAACAGCATAACTCTAAAAAAATAATTTCAATACAAAAATAAAATGTTATTTACAACATCGTTATAGCTAGTTGTTGATAAAAATATACATGACATCAATAAAGTATCTTTGTAAAATTCCACATCTAAGAACATAATCTATTATACAATGGGAGAGTTCTCTCTTCATCTAAGGTGTCCACATAGACAAATTTTTTATTTTTTAATGTTCATTTAATTTATGTTTAAGTATATTTATTGTTACGTATAACTAATAAAGTGGAACTAAATAAGAAAACGAATATATATAAACAAATGATCAAAAGTAGTAAATACAAGAATATTTAAGTATTTTATTATTGTAAATAAAAAATTATAACAAGAAATATATTTCATTTATATTGTATTTCATTTGAGAGTAACAAAACCAATTAAATATGAATTTATGATAAGATAAATGTTTATATATTTTAATTTCAAAAACTTGGAAATATGTAAAATGAATATAAATATAAGAGAATGAATAACATATAAACAACATAAGAGGATAATAAAAAAAAATTATTGAACATTGTAATTAAGAATCAAATGATTGTTAGGAGGTTGCAAGTTTAAAGAGAAATAGACTATCTTATTCCACTGAAAAATACTGAAAAATCTCACGAAAAAAATTTGGAATATATGATTTATTCAAAATATTATATTTGAGTTATGGAAGTATAAAAGAAAATTCTAATTAATAAAGTGGTGAATGATTAAATACAAATATTATTTATATATCTTATTATATAAAGGAGGATTCGCACGATGAGAACTTGAAACGTAAGC